CTTCTCAAATTTGGTGATGAGTATGTTAATGATGTGTTTGTTGTTAGTTCTGCGATACTTATGTTTACTGATCTTGGTTGCATGGATTATGCTCGTAAGGTTTTCGACCAATGTTTGAACAAAAATACTGAGATTTGGAATACTATGATTGCTGCTTATGTTCAGAATAACTGCCCAGTTGAAGCAATTGATGTGTTTGTTCAAGCCTTGGAGTCGGAGGAGGAAGGTTTATGCGATGATGTAACTTTGCTCTCGGTTATTACTGCTGTTTCACAGGTGCAGCAAATTAAATTGGCTGAGCAGCTGCATGCGTTTGTTCTAAAAAGTCTGCCTGCTTCGCTAATTATAATTCTCAATGCTATAATGGTTATGTACTCGAGATGCAATCTTGTTGATACTTCGTTTAAGGTTTTTGATAAGATGTTGGAAAGGGACGCTGTTTCGTGGAATACAATAATATCTGCCTTTGTACAGAATGGTTTCAACGAGGAGGCACTTATGCTTGTTTGTGAGATGCAGAAGCAAAAGTTTTTGATTGATTCTGTTACTGCGGCAGCTCTTTTTTCTGCAGCTTCTAATCTTAGGAATTTGTATATTGGAAGGCAAACTCATGCATATTTGATTCGCCATGGGATACAGTTTGAGGGGATGGAGAGTTATTTGATAGATATGTATGCAAAATCCGGCTCAATTAGGACTTCTGAATTGTTGTTTGAGCATAACTGCCCGAGTCATAAAGACCAGGCCACTTGGAATGCTATGATTGCTGGTTATACTCAGAACAGGCTCAATGAGAAAGCTATTCTTCTTCTCAATGAGATGTTGGTGCAAAAGGTACTACCAAATGCGGTGACATTGGCATCAACTCTTCCTGCTTGTAGTTCAATGGGAAGCATGGGGTTCGCTAGGCAAATTCATGGATTCTCCATCCGTCATTTCTTGGAGAAAAATGTTTATGTGGGAACTGCTTTAACTGACACATATTCGAAATGTGGTGCAATTAGTTATGCTGAAAATGTTTTTGTGAGAACACCCGAGAAGAATTCTGTCTCATACACCACAATGATGATGTGCTATGGTCAGCATGGGATGGGTAAGAGAGCTCTTACCCTTTACGACTCTATGCTGAGATCTGGCATTAAGCCTGATGCAGTTACTTTGGTTGCCATTTTGTCTGCTTGTAATTACTCTGGATTGGTTGATGAAGGCCTTCAAATATTTGAATCTATGGAGAAAGTACATAAAATTAAGCCTTCAAGCGAACATTATTGTTGTGTTGCTGACATATTAGGGAGGGTTGGGAGGGTGGTTGAAGCCTATGAGTTTGTTAAGGGACTGGGTGAGGATGGTAATAGCATGGAAATCTGGGGATCTATTCTTGGGTCATGTAAAAATCACGGGCATTTTGAATTGGGAAAAGTTGTTGCCAAAAAATTGCTGAATATGGGTAGGGAGAAAAGAATGGCAGGATATCATGTTCTGCTCTCAAATATTTATGCAGAGGAAGGAGAGTGGGAAAATGTTGAAAGAGTGAGAAAGCAGATGAAGGAAAATGGTTTGCAAAAAGAAACAGGATGTAGTTGGGTTGAGATTGCTGGGTTTGTAAACTGCTTTGTATCTAGAGATGAGAAGCACCCTCAAAGTGATGAAATATATTATATGTTGGACAAGTTAACTATGGACATGAAGGACGCGGGTTACAAACCACTTTACAGCTTAAATTTAAATATGATTTTGGATTCTAATGAATGAATTGAATAATTATCACAAGTTTTATCTAAGCGAGGTAGTGGTTGGTTTATGGCGGGAGTTGTTACCGAAGTAACAACAGATAATAGTTTCGTGACCTGCATAAATTTATTCTATGTACACCACAACAACCACTTGTTTGAAACACTTAGGCTGTTCATTCATTTGAAACAGATTGTAATTGGTTAAAAAACAAACCATTCATGTATATTACGACTGTGCAGTAATTCCTCACAAGTTTGATCATACTTTTATCTCCAATTCAAGAAACTGTGGCTACATCTAGGTACTATTCTTCAACTCAGCATTTTTCACATTTTGTAACATTTTAATACAATATTTACTTGTAGTCTTGGAGCTTTTATGATAAAACTGAACCGAACAATTAAAAGGTAGTACAAATCTGTCTGTGTTAAGCTCACCTTTAATAAAAGTGTACACAAAAAGAATTGTTTATCATGGGGGTGATATGTCCATTTAAGTTTGGTATGGAACCTAGCTCTAATGTTTTATATTGTTTTCCATATCAGGTTGAATATTGTTGTTTCGAATTTGTTTTGGGTCCAGGTACATGATAGGGTTACAACACTAAAGTCTAAAAGCAGGATGATGAGTACAGGGGTAGAGTTTTCTTGTTTCTCTCTCACTGGATGCTTAGTAAGAATATTATCAAGTACTGATTTGGATTTCCTTTTTACACATGAGTACTATAGAATATGGCAAGCTGTCAGATTTTATCAGAGGGACCTATCTTTCTTTAAGGAGGAAAAAGGTTCTATAAAAGTTGTGTTTAACTTTAACAGTTCAAGTTAGTGTTTTAAATTTGGTTAATTCCACTTCTTAATTCTTCTCATAGGATTCAGAAGTCTTCAAGATTCTTTGTCCTTAACCATGCTCTATTGTTGTCATTAGGCTACGGAAACTGCTGTCTGTTAAAGTCATGTCACGTCTAGAAGTGCCCGATAAGGCTTGATTAGGGGCTCAATTTGAAACTTTCAGATAAACTACATTAGTATTTAGCCTCTCTGCTTTGACATGTACAGGACACAGTCTACATGTCTATTTAGTTAGATGTATAAATTTCCAATAGGTCTGACCCTCGACTAACTGTAAATTCAACGGTGTCTATATAAAACAAAATAACATGTATGCTCATAGTCATAGCACTTTATATTGGAAATGTGCCAATATAAAAAGTTTTGTTTGTGACTTGGGATTTTATTTGGGTTTTGTTGATGCTTTTCAATTGCAGTGTATTTCATTTTATTTAGTCTCTCACTCTTAGGTTTATGGTTCAGGCCAAACCCATTTATTTCCTTCCCCTGCTTTGTGTTGTACAGTGATGTCCTTCTCCTTCAAGATGCACATATTTTTCGTTTGATATGCATTGTCCTTCAAGATGCTTTGTGTTGTACAAATGCATTGACCCAGCTATCATGACATTTATCTGTCGTCGGTCATGTATCATACGAGTGTCGGACACCTGGGCACGCATGTGTCTGTGCTTTAGAGATTTTACATGCTTTTGTTAGAAAATAAAATAATAGATTAATTAAACAATTTGACTAATATGATCTGCATCATCTATACTCAGATGACTCGCTGTGTGAGAGGTGATTTTTTTTATGTGATGAAGAGTGAATATTAGTTAAATAATTGGATTTTGAGGGTAAACAATTCTGTACTTTTTGGAACTGCAGGATATTAGATATCGGAGCAAGGAGTGCATATTAGATAGAGAGAATTTAAGAGAACTATGACTCTATTTATCTGTATTATTCTTCTATTCAGGTAATGTTGCAATTACAATAAGATGCAACCTACTTTTAATTCACCAGTTCAATAATTAGCAAATATCTGAATACCTGCAATACCGTAATTTGAATAAGTGTATTTGATGCTGTAGATGACTTCTTGTATCTTAAAATCCATGTAATTTAGATCAACATACAAACAATACTTTATGAATTTCACTTCACTAAAATGAATGGTGTATTTTAGTTTAGATTATGAAGTGCAGAACTATCAGTTACCTGTCAAAAAAACAGTTTGAAAATAATGGCCAAGATTCTTTGTTATTATGAAGGAATGGCTAAGATTTTAGTACCATAGTTTTTTTATGCATGTACTTTTGTTCTATTCTATTCTATCTGTTGGCAGCAGAGCCTCTCGATCGGACCATGAACTGCCAACAGTTTATATCCATGCACCAAGTTCAAAAGTGTTGGACATGAGGCAATGTATTGAGAAAATCTCAAGTTCCGCATTGGTTAGACATAGAGCATCGAAAGAGTTTATGGTTCTGTTTGGCAAGACATGTTTTGAGTTTATAAACTCATACGACAAAATAAAAGACGTGTTTGGTAACATTCTTTTCATCACAAACTTATAGTTTATTTTACTAACTTATAATTATTTTTCAGACGTTGTTTCAAATAGCGTTTTAGCTTATAACTTATTATTTTTTCTTCCACTTTTGTCCTTATTATTTTAACTAAAATCCACTATTATCCTTTATAATTTATTTTAATTTAAAATAAAACTATTATATATTAAACGTCTTTTATGTCATTTTAATTTATCAACTAATTGAACCGGTAATTTTACCAAACATTTCAATTAGCTTATCAAATACAAGTCACCGTATCAGGTATAAGATATAAGTTATCGGCCGTCAATCATCAATCATAAGCTATAAGCTATCCGCCATTATTTTTACCAAACAAAGCCTATATAGAGTGACACCTCTCACCCTAAAAATCAGTTTTGTAGAAATGAAATAGGCTCAACCTGAATTCCGAGATGGTAGCATGGTCTATCCTAGATTTGTTTTTGGGCTTCCCACTTCGTCCAAGCTCTGAGCTCATTGAGGCCCGAGCATAAGAGAGTGTTGGAATTTCGCCTTCATTGCGGTTTGTCCCTAGTCGCCTTAACTGCGGCATTTGACTTGTCTTCCTTGCGGCCTCCATCACATTCATTGTGTTGGGTTTGAAGGGGTGAATTTAATCATACATTGGTTAAAGATATGACTTGTGTTGAGTATATAAGTGAGGATAATCCTTACCTTAACCAACCCAAATTCCGAAACTATCTTATTTTAAAATGTTGGATTTTTCAATTGATTGTAATTTTTGTACATAATTTTCTAAAACACACCTCTTTTCTACGAAGTGAAATCAAGTTGAGTTGATTTATTTAGCAATTCGACTAATACCCTCCAACCATTTTGTATATGGTCAGGTGCATAGTTTTTACACTTGATTAATAATATAATCAATCAAATGACTTAAACAAGTGTAGGAAGATCCACTCTCTAGCAATGTCTTCCTACTTTGTTCACTCATTTCTTTTACTTTCTTCCTTATCTCTCCATTCTTATTCATCACACTTCTTATTCCTCTCTCAATTTTGTCTGCAGTCAAAAGATAGTCAGGTCCAACATCATACTCCATCCTATAATCCAAGGCAATTTCCACACCCATCTTCAGCTCACGCACGAGTTCAAAAGCATTGGTCTGTTGCTCAGCTAAGAGTGGCCATGTGGCAATAGGCACACCATAATATATGCTTTCAAGAGTAGAATTCCAGCCGCAGTGCGAAATGAAACCTCCAGTGGCTGGATGGGCGAGTACTTGGACCTGAGGTGCCCATCCAATGACCCTTCCAATCTCTACTGTTCGCTCTAAGAACCCTTCAGGTAAGACTGCGACCAAATCAGAAAAAGGATAATCAGACACCGGACCCGTGGTTCCCTTTGGCGGAGGTTTGCGCATGGACCACAGGAAGCGGGATCTACTTTTCTCAATAGCACATGCAATCTCCCTAACCTGATCCTCATCAAAAGCACCCATGCTCCCAAAGCAGATGAAAATTACCGAAGAATGAGGTTGGTCATCGAGCCACTTAATTGTGTCATCAGAATTAACAATACCATTAAGCTTGGGCTCAGGCTTGAGTTTGGTCTCAAGGTTTAATATGGGGCCCACCGGATATATGGGTAAACCACGTAGACCCGAGTCTTCCAAGAAGGAGTGAGCCGCATGTGGTTCTAGCTCATGAAACGAGTTTACTATAATACCACTAGCTTTCTTGAGTCCTCTGCCATGATTGATAAAAGCTGATTCCCACTTCTTGCCGAGCACCACAGTGGGCAACGTGTTTGTAGGAACTGGGATAGAGAAACTCGGGATGTCAACCTCGTCCTGCTGCAACAAAATTCGAGTCGCTTCTAAGTTGTTTTCCATAAGTGTATGAAGATGAAGCACCAAACCAAGGTAAGCAATACCAGAAGTGAAGTAGAGAAGAGACGGGACACCAAAGTCGATGGCAACATCAATCATGGTGGTACAAAACATGTCAACAACGAAAGCAGCAAGTTGTCCATTGATTTTGGAAACAGCTTCTTTAACATTTGGTTTTTGGGTTTCAGCGAGAGCACTAGCAGAGTGACTTCCATCAGGAGTGGAGGAAAGATGAGTACATTCAGGGAGGTTGATGATATGAAGATTTTCCGAGTCGAAGGAGGACGAAAGGGTTTGTACTTTTTCATCAGTGTTTGGAAACTTGATGACCAAGACGGTTATGCTGAGACGGCTATCACGGTTGATAAGAAGCTTAGCGAACTCAAGGGCGGATCCTAGATGTCCCACACCTGGAGAAGGAATAAACACCACTTCTACTTTCTTCATCCTAAACACAGCACTCAACGCAATTACATTGCATGTAATTGTTAACTAGCTAGAAGCAGATCATATATATCAATTTTGTGAGTGGTGGTGAGCATGATTCAGAAACATGAATTATTATCTTGTCTTTAACTTGTACAGTTGTATGATATTATAATCTGTGCATTTTTATTGGAGGCTTTTCAGATTTGAATTGAAAATATCCTCTACAGTTGGTTTTCCAAATGTGTGATGTGACTGTAATCTCATTTTAAAATTTTGTTTTTCACTATTTCTTGCTTTTTGTAAAATGGATTTTTAGGTCGACAAGATCATAAAAGTTCACTTTTCAATTGCAAAACATCTCAATCTGGTGAGGTATTTCAGGGTTAATTAGAGGGATGGAAAAAACATAATAAAGACGTTAATGTGCAAAGCACAATTAGCTGATGACGTTTCAACGACCCTCCTTAATTTACCAAATTTAAACAATTTTAATTGTTTTCTACAAACCTTGTACTCACCAAATTTAAACAATTTTTGATTGTTTTCTACAAACCTTATTCTTGAAGTGATGCTTGTAGTTTTTAATATAAACTTAAACAAGCAAACAAATATTGATCGACTCATTTTAACCATTTCCTATCAATTATATCTCTATATTTAAGCACTTACTATTGATTTAATCCACTATTTAATCACATTTTAACCACTTATTATTAATTTGATCTTTCTATTTAATAACTTACAATCAATTTAACCATAACATTGCTTTCAAAGAATTAATTAGTAAAGTTTAACAGAATAAAAGACTACTTGGAATATCTATAATTTCAGTGTTTCATTTGAGAGGATCTAACAAAATCAGAGGCAAATTTGGTAGTCTATTCAAAATTAGACTGTTATTACAGTTGTAGGATTTTTAATTATCACACAAAATAATACTACCTTTCTAAAAACTAAAATTTGCAATTTCCATTAAAAAAGTGATTATTTTGAATTTCGTGTAGACAAATCATCATTTTAGAATGCTATATCATATCAATTAAAAATAATCAACATTAAAAAAATCAATCTCAAAGCATTGTACAAGCCTCAAGCAAATATATCTACACTGGTAATAAAAAGGTTACACATGTATACAAACTTGAATAGCCATCCATGGGAATCGCAACGCAGATCAATGTTCATGTCAAGACTTGCTTTTTCTTTTTCTTTTCTATTTTACAAATTCAACTTAACAACAATAAAGATGGAACACAGACATAAACTATAAGTTCAGTTCACACTTCGATCGCACCAAACATTTCTCCATTCCTAGAAATCCCAACAATAGCAACATCGAATATCCTTACTTGGTGGCTTGTGCGATAATATTACTCAAGGAACTTGCTTCCTCCTTAGCAGTCTCCACCAATGAATCCTAAAAGTCGATATTGTGCAAAACAATTAGAAAAACTGATTGAAGAATCAAAATATATTCAAAAGAGAAAGATCATTGTTACCTGTGCAGCTATCAACCGGGCAACAGTTTTTTTGCTTGACTCCTGAAGTTCACCGGCAATTAGAAGTTCGTCAAGTATATAATAGGCCTTCCATGATTAAAAACAAACAGATCAGAAGGGACATTACTAGACTGAAAATAATTAGAGGTTGCATGCTCAACAATTGAGTCTCACTCAGTGTAGGACTATTAATAAGAGTTATAGGAAAACGAGTAGCCATTATAATTAGAATTTTGGACAAATCATTATACTTGGACAGACCTTATGGAAATTGAATATCAAGTCCAATTCACAGACCTACAAATTGACAAGTGGCCATTATATGTTAGAGATTTCCACTTTTCACTAGTGAAGCAAGGAATACCATTCAAAAAGTCAACTTTTAATAGAGCTTACACTGCCAAAATACCGATCAAGAATCTCCACAAAATGATGAATCATTTCAAGGACTTCCAATTCGTTGTCAGCATCATCAATACACATACAGAAATAAAGACTAGCATACCTGCAGCATATGTTCATTATAACACAGCCAGTTAAAAATCAAGCCAAACAAGAGTGCATTGCAAAGGAGTAGCATTCTTGTATGACATAAAACACCCTTGCCATAATACCTTTTATAAACAACTTTATGACCTCTCCACTCTACAAAGTTACATAGCTTGGGAGCACGGCTAAGAATCACTCCACTGAGCTCACGGATTACCTAGTCAACATAAGATTAGATATAAATACATATGAATTATGAAGAATGTTTATCAAGGAATGTAGTGTACTCAACATGCAATGACCATCACTATCATTATATATATAGATAGATAAAAGGAAGGGGAAGAAAATAACAAATTACCATAATAAAGTGAATAAATGATAGGTTGTTAGTTACCTTACTTCTTTCCTTCTGAGTGTAAGGTGAATACCATTTTGTGAGCCTGACCTTCCCTTGACGACTAATGAGCAGCACAAAGTGTATCTACATTTAGGAAGAGGAATAAAACATGCATGTTCAAATGTGAAATACATAAATAATAATAAAACATAATTAAAATTACATTTAAGCATAGGCATCAACAGAAATCAATTAGTAGAGTATTCTATTCACAATGACTAGAGTGGCACAGTCCTACCATCCATTATAAAGTTCATTAGTCATGCTATAATTTATAGTGGATTTCGAGTTTTGATCAACTGTTGTACAATTCTGATAAGTTGTAATAGTTGTAATCAAGGTTGTCAAAATCGGGATCTTGCATAAGATCGAGGGGGATAGTAAGATTGTAACTAAGATTGGAAGATTCTACTCAATTATTTTTGTAAGATCGAGAGTTGGTAGCCAGATCGTAAAACATAAGATCGTAACAAAAACCATACAATACTACTAAAACATAAAATAATACTACATATTTGAAGTATTTCTATACGATATTTTTGTAGGCAAGTGTATATGTAGGAAAATGGACGCCGCAGAACCATAATTGTTGTGCCACTGTATCTCATCATCCTTCTCGGCCTGTAACGTTGATGGCCGTTCATGGCCGAAATTGGCCAAGAACGCACATAATCAATGTTTTTACCATTTTTTACAATTTGACTGGAACACACGATTCTACTTAAGATTTAGATCGTTGGGGGCGAGTGAGATTGCAAAATGGTAAGATTTTAAGATTTAAACCGAGATTTTGATAACCAATTGGAATAGAATAAGTAATTAGATTAGTGCTTTTATGCTTCTTGTTACATCACACTTACTTACATAGAGAATCACAACCACTTCTTTGACTTAGTTATCTTATACACTGAAATAGAAAATGACAATTAAACAAGACATGCTAGTAAATTAAAATGTTCTAATTCAACGTCTTAACAATAAATATGGAGCCTTGCCGAAGAAGAAAGACTATGATTAAGTAATGTCTAAAGTCTAAACAATATTGTTCATTTCTTAAATATTTGCCTTATTAATTGAAAGGCTATATATGTCACCCTAACTATCAACATATCAATTAATGGGTAATTGAATCAAGAACACACACTCCTTTGGGACACAAATTTCCACACATTGTCGCATATTAATCTATTTTTGAAAAACCGAACACATTAGTATTATAAACGTATCACTTCTGAGTTTCAGTTATCTTTAAGCAATTTCATGGTATTATTATGCAAAACATACTAAACATCAAAACTTACAGCAATCATCTTATATCCAATTAATGGTGCGAAATTGGACCTTACTACATGTATTCCATACAAATATGCATATGTATATTTATAGTCTTCCATCCTAGACTTTCAAAATTCAATCAGACAATAAATAAGCATCATTGTTATCAAATTGCGGCGCCATGGCCGCTATGGCGGATATACATGGTGGTTTTTAGACATGCCGCGATGGAAAAATATTGGCCGGTATTACGGGTTTCATAATCCGCTATAACGACGCCGCAAAGCGGCAAATATGGTGGGGTTTTGGCTCTCTGCCATGGACCGTCATCCACCATCGACAACACTGACATGCATGCATACATCATACAAACATGTATTCCAAGTACAAAATGCAAGTTAAGAACCAAGTTCAACTTCATGATTGATAGTAATAGAAATCCAAAACATGAAACAAAGCTGTCGGTGTAGTTTCAACAACCACAAATTTAATGGTAAGGCAGCCATGAATCACAAGCAGACTTTATTTTTTCTAAATCAAGGTGATCAACTGTGATTTTGCAAAAGCTAGCAAATGCTACAATACTCTGGTTCTGCAATGAAAAAGATTGATTTCGAGTGAATTGATTTTGGTTAAAAGTGAGTTGGATGTAAAGTGATTCTTTACTTTTGGATAACTTTATGTAAAATTGAGTCAAAAAGTAAATTTCACCGTAAAAATCACATTTAAACTCAAAAGCTAAAAATTCTACTTTCAAGTAGAATAAATTCTACTTAAGAACCAAACACCTCAAAAATCATTCCAAAATCAATTCCATGTCTATAGAATTGCTAAACCAAACATACAGTTGCAGTTATTGCGAAATCTGATGGCTTCGAAAAATTCAGCCCTAATAGAAAACATTGAATCATTTATGGATTTGGCAGTTTTGGGTAATTCAGTCCACATACACACCCACACTCGAGTCTCAACTAACTATGGCTTGATCGGATCACAAAACTAAGAGAAAGCATTATTCAACAATTAACTGGATCTTGAAAATAGCAATAACCTAGAACAGCATCTTCAGAACAAGTCATCAATGGTTTAGCATTAGATATTAAACAGAATTGAAGAAAAGTGAAAACAGATCGGGTTTATGAAAGAAATAGCACGGAATCAGATCACGAAACCTAAGTGCAGATTGAACTGAATCATTCATAGTAGCAAATAATTCAAACCACAAATCTAACAAGCAAGAAAGAACAGCATGAAGAAACTAAAATTCATTGAGCAAGCAAAAGAAACAAAAATGAAAAACAATGAAAGTAGAAGGAGGAAAATAAGTTGACTCACCATTGAAATTGGCGAAAGAGATCTATCAATGTTGCAGAGAGAGAGAATGGTGGATACGATGGAAACGAAGATGGTTGAGAGTTTTCTGTTTTTTGTTTTAAATGAAAAAGTGGGTCTGGATTGGACTCACTTGGAAAACTATGGCCCAATCAAGCCCATTATCTCTTTTTTGAAATTTTACTCCATACCTCTTTACTTATACCCATATCCCTACACTAAAAATTTTTGGACTAAAATACCTTTATATAAATAGTTATAATTTTAAAAATTTTACATTTCCGTTTCATTTGCACTTCAACACTTTCGGAAAATCCTTTTTTCACATACAAACAGGAACTCTTCGCTAAAGTCATCTGAAACTACATTTTTCACCTACATATACCGGAACTCTAATAGTAAGTCTTCCGGTTTGTTGTGTTTTTTCGTTTGTTCACCGGAAGACTTTAAGTATGTCTTCCGGTTCATATTTTTATTCTTTTGTTCACCGGAAGTATTTTTGCAAATCTTCCGGTACATGTGTTTTTTACGTTTGTTCTCATCCGGTTCATGTTTTTTTTTTTTAATTTTTAATTTTTAATTTTATTTATTTATTTATTTATTTTTGGCAGTGGTGCGCACACGAGGCAGAGACGATAAGATCCCTTCTCGCGGACTAGGACGGGGCGAGTCATCGAGAATGGCTGAAGAAGAGCATTTTGATGCATCTGCATCAGCATCCGAGCCTGTTGGATATCTAGGAGGACCCTACGATACCTCTCTTTTAGTTAAGTACGAACATCATATTGCTAGACGTATATGGATCGGTGAAGTAAGTAAACGAAAATTATTTAATATTGAATAAAATTCGAATTTTTAATGTTGAATTTTATAATATATTTACTTTTAATTGTTTTTAGGAGAGAGGGTCGAAGAAAGAGTTAAAGGTAGCGGGACATGGGTTGAAGTTGATTCAGAGGGTTCCACTACAGCTACCAAGAGAGGTAGAGGGTTGGATATCTAGGTCTAGTCTAGCTTCACTCTAGAGAACCAGTTTGACAAAGATAGACACGAACCTGGTTTCCGCATTTGCAGAGAGATGGCATCTAGAAACATCTTCATTTCACATATCGTTTGGTGAGATGACGATTACTCTAGATGAAGTCTCTTGCCTGCTTCACTTGCCCATCAGGGGAGTCTTCTGGAGCCCTCAAGATATCAGTGAAGCGCTTGCTGTTGAGTGGGTTGTTGATTATTTAGGAGTGTCACAGAGAGTAGCGCAACAACAACTCCGTGACTGCAGGGGTTCCTACTATAAGTTGAAGTGGTTATATGATCGATTCGTAGAGCATAAAGCTGCTTCTAGATGAGATTATGTCACTAGAGCTTATTTGTTGATGTTAGTGGATTCCACTATTTTTGCAGATAAGACGTTTACGCTGGTCGAGGCACAATACCTCTTACTATTTATAAACTTTGATGGCTTATCGGGATACAGTTGGGGAGCAGCTGCGTTAGTTACCTTTTATAGATATCTCGGAGATGCTTCCATGTTCAGTTGTAAGCAGCTTGGTGGTTATCCGATTCTCCTACAGGTATTTATTTTAATTTAGTATATTTTGTTTTAATTAATTTTGTCTAGTATATTAATTTTATTTATCTAGTTTATTATGTTATAATTAATTATTTTAAATTTAGTAACAATATTAATTTTGTAACAGTGCTGGACTCATTAGTATTATTCAACACTTGGAAAAAAAAAAGAAGAGAATTGGATACCAGCTAATAATGTGGGTCTCCCTCGAGCGATGAAATGGTCCTATAGGCAAGGTGCCTTGAAGGTGGATGACTTGCAACATATTCTAGATGAGCTAACACCTACCAATGTCATATGGCGTCCATTCGAGAATCATAGAGTATGGCGTCAGTTTGATGAGTTATGTCTATATAGGGGGTGTTTGAGGTGAGGTGACACTATTGGTCCATACTTGCCTGACAGATGTATGCGTCAGTTTGGATACAGGAAGTATGTTCCACATCCACCTTTTGATTATACGATGGCTGGTGATATTGATGTTGACTGGATTAGTTACCATCAAAGCGTTCAGGATGTGATTCTTCCGACAACACCAGCCACCACCCCATATGAGATAGATGATGGATATCTTCAGTGGTATTATCGTGTTTCGCATCCTCGTCTGGTACTGCCCTATCGTGATGCGCCAACAGAGATGCTAGTTCCTGTATATGAAGCAGGACCATATGATCCTAGATGGGCTCGTGTGTCTTCATTGATTCATCGTTATCTTCAACAGGCTGGTACTGAAGAGGAAGATCCACAGTTTGCTGATTTGTTTGAAGCTTTACATATTGCTCGATCACAATGACTTATATTTATATTTATGGTTATATGTTAACTTTTAGACTCATTTGACCTAATTGGTTTATGTTTATGTGTTAACTTTTAGACTCATTTGACCTAGTTGGTTTATGCATCCAATTGGTTTATGTTGTTGCTGGAGAACGAAACTTCTTCCAATTTACTGTCACTGGTGGAAATGGAAACCCTTCTTTCATGTTTACCTAAATAAAAAAATAATCAAAATATTAAGTAAAAATAATGAAAAAGAATTAGGTTTAATCGCATTATCTAAAAATAACTAAGTACCTGAACCCAATGATTTCGGTTTACAAAACCAATGCAGTAAATTGCTACATTTGGTGAAAATGAAGTTGTCATAGGGAAGAAAGTCCAACATTCAATTCCTAAATAGAAAATTACAACATTATAACGATTCACTATCACGTAACTCATATCTGGTAGAGTTAACCATTTATGTGGTGGTTGAGGATCAAATTTCTCTATCATCAAAGATTCTCTCACTACTGCTAATTGATCAGTAAATAAATTGGCATACAAACTTGATCTTTCATTATGTATTATTTCCAACCCCAAGTCTCGACGAACCATTGGCCAACCATCTTCACCATATCCATGCAATGAAGCAATGACTCTAAATCCACAATTATCATCTGATACAACATTAACTACATCATAAATATATGACCTGATGTGATTAGGAAACTGAAGAATGAACTGCTTAAATGACTGTGAAGATTGTGATAATTTCAACTTCTTCGAAGCCTGTGATGGTTGAGATTTCTTTTGTGAAGAGTGTGATAATTTCAACTTCTTCGAAGTTTATGATGGTTGAGATTGCCTCTATGAAGATTGAGATACTTGATAAACACAATCATGATACGAAGGGTCTCTATAAACATCATACCCTACTGGTTTTTTTTCTTTCTTCTTGACCCCCCCTTTAGTTTTTATTTTCTCAGGTGGTGGACACATAGAAGTCATTATGGGGAAGGCAAGTTCAAAAACCCCACTTTTTAATGTCTTTTTCCCAACAACATCCAGTGACTTAAACCTTTTCCGTAACTCATATATTTCACTACTCATATCCACCTTTGATCCATCATCTACGTCTTCGTCCAACTTAACTTCCATACTTAGTTTTCTCCAATGAACATGCACAACATCTATTGGTATCAGTATACCATCAATTCTATATCCTGTCAACTCACAAACACAAGGTAATCCGTAGGTTGTTCTAAGAGTACAACGACATATTTCCTTATTAGTTCCAACATAATCAACTCGTTTTAACTCTTCAGCAATGCGTCTCAATGTATCTCGAGACACTGAACCACATAAGTTATTGTAAAATGGACTTACGTGAGTGTGCTCAACTTCGTAAAAACTCTTTTGAAAAGAAGCTCTAATATTGCCCATTTGTAACTTTAAGTTGTCATTCATAACCTCCCAACATTTGACTATGTCACCAATACTGTTCCCCAACATTTGCTTTTACTTCCAATGAGCAGACTCAACCCTAAAATTAATACAAATTAAAAATATTTTTAAAAATTCAAAAAATGATATACAATTTAGAAATACTAAAAATAAATACATACTGATTAGTCGTGGTGTTACTCAAACGTAGCACTCGATTAATCCATGCTCCAACAAATCTTTGTCTATGTGGTGTCGACTATATGTCCTTCACGTAATTAATAAATTCATTACAATCAACACACGTATGCTCAAGTTGGTTTAACCTTTGATCATACTCAACCTCATCACTAGCCCATACAACATCCGTCTATAATTCGTCAATTTTCTTTTGCATGTCACTAGCCACATATTGTTTCCGTTTTGCACCAACATTCTTGTTAATATGAAGTCGACATAGAAAACTGACCGACCTTGGAAACACAATTTCAATGGCTTTCATCAAACCAAGATCTCTATCTGTCAAAATCACTCGTGGACACAAATCTTTCTTCACAAACAATTATTTAAGCTTATCTAGCACCCAACAAAAAGTCTCAGTCTACTTAGACTCAATATAGGCAAATGCGACAGCAAAAGTCAACTCGGTTGATGTCATACAAACAATTTCAAACAGAGGTTGCCTATATTTGTTTGTTTTGTAAGTGTTGTCCTTAACTAACACAATAGAAAAAATGTTCAACAACTTAACTGAATCTAGATGAACCCAAAATATTTCTCTAATAACTTCAGAGTCATCTCTTTTTCTACTCCAATAAACATAACCTGCATCCTCAATAAACTTAAACAAATGTTGTATCTCACTTCTAAGACCACTTATATTTTTTTCTATCATACTTTTCTGCTTGTATATTTGTGTGATCCGAGTGACATTATCTGGATCTTACTCTTAAAATGAAAGCAATATATGTCTAGGTGGAACCTTTCTCTTTGTCAAATCAATAACATGTTGCTTCTGATCCGCTATCAACCTACCAACAAATGAGTGACCTTCTAATCTATCAGGTAAATCATGGTTATGAACTCCACATTTTACATCAATCTTCCTCCAGATCCATCAGTCGCTGGAATTGATCTGATTCTAAATAAACATCATCAAGTTTTACATAAAAATAGCTTATATGTGAGAAATTTGAGAATATAATGAGGAACGTATCTCTTTTCGAAC